AATATTTAATAATTTTAGTAGGCAACGATACGTTATTATTTTTACATACAATAGACTTATTTTGCTGTACACCGTGAAATTGGAAAACCTTTACTGCCGTTTACTGTATAAAACTTTACTTCAAAATATACATATTTTAAATTTCAATATACAGTTTTGGTGTACATCGGTTAGAATGGCCAGGAAAGTAATAATCTATGTTCTGTATTTTTTTATAATATACTATTATAACAGTGAAAAAACGTTCGCAAGTTACGCGGTCAAAAAAAACCTGGCCGACGTACTGAACTCACTTTTGGGCTATCGGCAATGGGCACAGATTACCGACGTGCAAGTTAAATCACATCCGGACATTACAAACGAATGTGTTTCGTTTTCAGGGCGAGATTTATTTATTCACAGAGGTTTGTACTCGAGTGCTAAGAATATTGGAAATTCTCATGTCAGTGTCGATAACGCGTATGAAAAATACTACATGATCACTCAATTTTTAGGATGTGTTTATTCTCAAGTGACCTATACGTTTGCAACATTGATCAAAAACATTTTATCTGTAATCGCTTACCAAAGATTTTTGTCTAAAGATAGAGCACGCAAGAAAAGAAAACGACGCGAGTTAAAGAGAATTCGTTTGGAAAAATTGTATCGTGATCATATGCCAGTTAAGCGATCAAGAACTCAAGTACATGATTATCAATCACATGGCGAAAATAGTGGAGATTCGGAAGACAAGGAGCACACATCGGACGGCGAGGAAGAAATCAAACAGGATATTGATTTTAACAACTACTATGAGGTTTCGTTGAAAATTATCAATTTTACATACGAACAATTATCGCATAGTCAGCAAATGTTCAAATACATGTATGCGGCTTTAGGTTATTTATTTAGATTGATTCCGCCCAATAAACATGATTTACATCCTAGCATAGAACTTGTACGAAATTTATTGCCGTTGGTAGGGTGGTACAGAGACATATCGATAAATTTAAAACGCTCTTTTCCGACTAATATCAGCGAACTTGAAGTCGAGTACAAGACGTCTAAAGGTGAGCCATTTGCCACAAGATTAAAGAGGATTATTACTGGTAAGAATCGCCATTTGTTAGAGCCGTTCGCACTGAAATATTGCATACTACCTGCGCTGGAAAAACAGCACATCAAAAAAATGATAGGTACATTTCTATTGCAGTTTCCCTTAAAAACAAATACATTTGATATCATATATCAATTTGGAATTGAAATTCAAAAACTCATAAAAATGGTCATCAAAAATTATAATTCCGATTTAGGTTTCGTGCACATAGAAGAATTCGCATTTGACAACCTTTTATGATTTATCTTAATAAATTTGATTGTATAAGAATTACAGAATTAGATTAAAATATTAAAATACATGTTAAATTAGTATTACTATATAAACCCCATTAATCCACTCATGACTCATTCTATTTGACGTGTTATTACAGTTCTTAAATAAGAATATACCAACCATTTTGGTTTTGTGTGCAATTTTTTTACATTTGTAGAGTTGTTGAAATTTATTTTGAAAAATATATAAAAACATTTTTAAAAAGTTAACAAGTTGCATAATATTCTAATCAATGTGTTGCATATTGCTGTTGTGATTTTATTATAAAGTACCTTAATTATACATTTGTAAGGCGGTCAGTATTATGCAATAATTGACCGTTGTTGTCTATGCCATGTTACATTTAAATAAATTTATATTATTTATTGGTAGGTTGGATAACCCCTTTTGTTAGTTAATGAAAATTAAAATACTCAAACAAAAGGTGCTTTGTTGACATTATTTTACCGGCGACGAAATAATATATATTTTTTAAGTTTGTAGTCAAAAGGTTCTATCTATTTTACAAACACTATTCGAATTACATAAAAAGGTTCTAAACGCCGTTTATGTTAAAATGTAGCTAACAGAAAGTATAAAGTATAATGTAACACATAATAATTAAAAACGGTAATAATAAACATTCAAAAGTTTTATCATGGCGGACAACGAGGTAGGTGATAACGTTTACGCGCCATTATTAAGGCAGCTGCGACCATAGACCTATTAAGAAATGGACTGATAGTAGAGAGAGAGGTCCGAATATCGACATCGTTAAAAAGAGACAGAGAGTTGTTAGGTTGGTCATGGAAGAAATAGTAATATGATAATACCCGATAACGAAATTTTTATATTAAAATATTTTAATTATTCTTGTTAGTAATTAAAATATTGAATTTCGTTTAATTTCTTATAATGGTTTTTTAATGTGTCATTCGTTCGTGCAAAACAAAATCAAATAAAGATTGCATCATGCATCGGTAAGTTGAGACATTATTTACCTGTATTACATTTTTATACATTTGAATATTGATCATAGGTATATTACTAATAGTAATATACTAATAATATATAATCAATGATTTTAATAATAATATAATCTGTTTCAAAGCTGGCCTAGAAATCATGAAATGGTTTAAAAATGGGCAAATGCGATACGTATGTTTCAACCAGATTTTACTCCGACGACGCATACAAAAATATGCAGTAGTAATTTTATAGAATCTGACTATAACTTGAGCTTTACTGGTAAAAAAATGTTAAAAAAAGAAGCTGTGCCAAGTGTATTTAAACTGGGTATGTTCTTCCTTATAATGGTAATTGTTACCAAATTTATGTATTTTTTTTATAAATATAATATTGTATATACATTTGGTTAATGTTATGTGATAGTAGGTACCTATATGGAAGTAATTTTTTTAGAGTAATTTGTTAATTAAATTTTACTTTTCTTATCTTATCTTATTTACTTATTATATGTTCTTCACAAAATAATTTTTAAAAATTTCATTGTACGTCTTAATTGTCAATTTTTATCCACCTAAAATATTTCTAATAAGAACCATTGATATTAAAACTGATTCTATCTCAAACATTTTTATCATTATTGCAATGACTGTGTGTATTAATTTGTTATTTTTCAGTAAAATGTGATGTCATATCTATGGCTTTTATAGATATATTTAAATATCTATGAACAGTTTCATTGAGGAACAAAACAGAAAGGACCGTTGTGTATTGTTAACAGTTTCACTCGTAACACAATTTTATTTAGCGTTGAAGAACATTTTTCTAAATATAATATTTATTTACTCATTTTAATAATGTATGAATAGCATAACTTCTTTGAATTTTTTAGTGAAATCAAAATAATGTTGGGGCTTTGTGTTTATATGTTTATATTTTTTAAATAAAAAATATACTATTGGTGATAAAAATAATAAAATTGTTGTGTTATGTCTATTAATTTTTTTGGTTACAGTATAGTTCTTACTTTTGTTTATTTGTAAAATTATACCCTAAAGAATTTATATATATATATATATATATGTTTTTTTTTTTTAAAGGAAAGTCTACCTAATGTAGAAACTGCTTTAATTATGCGACAAATTCATCACGAGTCTGGTGCATACTCTCCTGAGTTACGTACTTTTGCTCTGACATTACATTTTTACTCGCCAGCTGCATATAATTATATTATATTGGTCGTAACTTGAAAAAGAAACAAATAAGTAGTGATTTTACAATACCTAGTGAATTTGTTTAAACTTAGATGCAGATCTGTGATACAATAAATTGTCTATTGAGTTTGTAAAGAAACATACACGTTTTATAAAAAGTAAAACAGAATGTTCATTGATAAAATTTGAATGAAATTGTAATGGTTTTTAAGTATTTATTAATGATATACTATGTACATATCTATTTAAAACATCATACGAAAGCATTGGATACCCGACAAAATAATGAAATACATATCCTTTAATGTTTTACAACTTCGCAAAACACAATAATAAATAATAATTAAATACGATTTAATTATTATAAATTTCCATTTGGTGTATTGTCATATATATATTTAAATTATTATTATTCCATGTCTTTTCAATTTTTATTCCATGGTCAACCTAAAAACCATCTATCTCTTTCTAACGTTGTTCATAGTCGGGGTGTGTGGGAGGCGCAGTCCATATCTTTATAGGTCTATGGCTGCGACGGCCAAAGTTATTATATTAGATAATTTTATTTTTCAAGAGAAATAACTATTATCTAGCCGTCTCAATTTCCAAGAGAAACAAAATCATCGCTATTTTCTTAATTAAAAATGACTTTATTTAACCCTTAAACGAAAATTTTTTAAAATTTATGGTACACAATATTTTTTATATAAATTAAATTATCAGAGATTTAGGAAAAATTAGTAAAAATATCTAAAAAGAACTTCGCTTAAAACATCAGCTGGTAAAAAGTAATTTCTATTACTACCTTTATGTGCAGTCGCTTATAGGTATTAATAATTAACTTAAGTTAAAGAGAACTACTACACGGGTTTATCCTGAACACGTGTAGTTTAAATATTATAATTAAACTACAAATAAATTCGAATGTTTTATGTTCCATGAAAAAAAAAAGTTTGTCATACTATAGCCATAGGTTACCTGAATCAAATGTATATTTTCTAACAAAACAAAGTTATGTAATTTTAAACATTTTGCATTTCTGCCACAATGGGCTTTGAAGAGTTTATTGTGTAAATGGGTTACGTGGCGTCCTCTGGTTGTCAGTATGTATATTACTAATACCACACAAGAATACTATGGCAGCGTGACAAGATGCCAAATTACTTACGAAGTCTGTTTATGAGCTTACAGTTAATTAATTGCTGGATATTTATTGTTTTTTAGAATTTCGCTACGACCAAAAGTATTTGTTTTTATATTGCGCTTTTGTCTACACTGTGAAACGTATTCCATCCTGAACTCTGCCCCACGAGATGAACGGCATTACGCAAACTCCTGACCCTTCTTTTGTCTGGAGACGAGTCGAAATATAATCAATAATGCTCGCCCCGTGTACATATTACATTCTATACACAGCTTGTAGTACAGTCGGTCGGTGTTGCGTCTTGACGGATACCAATTGAGTATTTATTTATTTGGTGTTTTCGCCTTTGGACCAGCAAAGAACGTTTTTTTTTCGAAACACGATCGCCGATTTGTCAACAGCAATAGTCCTTGTGGATCTGAAGCGCTTTTTTTTTGGCTGAGAAGTAAACTGCCAAGAGAACGAAAAATCACCTGCGACACAGCTTAAGTATCTGACTTTGACTTTTTTTGTCGTTTACATTGTAAAAACCACCTAGTCCTCTAGATATACCAACAATTTGGTTTTTTTTTTAGTTAATTCCACTACAGTAACAAAATACTGGACTTAGCTTACAACTGATTACAGTTGACCGCATCACTGTGAGTATTTGTACATTTTATTTGTTATTTTACCGTGTCATATAATATTATTTTCGTACAAAAATAATAGAAAACTTATAAATTCTATATAACTGCGAGGCACAAAAAAAACTTATTTAAATCGTTGACAATATTTTAAGTATATTATTTTTCTTGGTTTTTATAACATCTGGTATGGTAATTTATATGAAAAACAATTGATGTTGATAATTTTAAGAGCTTGTAATGAATAGGAAAATAAACAAAATGCTACTCACTAATAATAAGAAGACATACATTTTTCATAGCTTTTATATATTATAATGTTATATAGAGGTCAATCGGATTTCATACCAGTGCGGTGTAATGATTTTAAATTAAAAAAACCGTGTGCTAAATGCTAAATTTTTCATTTTTTCTTAACTATAAGATATATTAAGTGAGTTTTAAATTAACTAAAAAGAACTTGTCAAGAAGATACAACATAGGTATTATAAAGATTATTTAAGTATTTTGCAATAAAAAATATTGACAATTTAATTTAATTTTATGATAAGATAATATGAGGATAGTTAATATTACTTACTAGTAGTTTTACATTTCTATCCGGACCGGTGTCGAATTCTCACTTTTTTGTACAAACATAACAGAAAACTTCCTTCTATCATAACTCTAGAGTTGTGTCGTAGGTATATTTAGTAGGTAAACAGAAAAGTAAATTTTTAACCTATTAATGGTTAACTATAATACTTGTAGCGGAAGGGCGACTTGAAAATTTCATATAAGTTTTTCAGATTGAAGAAATATGTTTTTTTTATTTTTTAGTAGTAGAATGAACCGAATTCAAGCACTTACGTCTGAAGAAACTGGCACGGGTCGTTTTGAAATAAAAGTTAGATATATGATTGACAGATTTAACCATGAACTCGATGGAGAGTTAGTCCAGATCTGTAACCGATTATTAATCAATACTTTAATGGAGAGATTGGACAAGTAAGGACTTAACTACCTAACCAGTATTACATTAGTAAACACTAGCATTTAAATTTCTAGTTTCTACTATGTTTGATGTCATATGCTATTTCTGCACTATAATAACTGAACCACTTATACTGTAAAAATATTTGCTAACTACATGTCTGTATTTTATTGTAATTCAAACACTTTTTTGTTTCGACATACAGTATTAAGTTTTTGTTGCATTGTCCTAGTGTCCTTAACAATTATATTATTTCCTAAAGTAAATATAAGAACTTTGTGGGTATATAAACAGATCACCTTGTACAAATGTATAATTAAACTAACGATTTTTCAGATATTTATGTTATTATATTGTAATGTCATAACAGTATGTTGGTACTTAATTATTTTATAAAGTAAAATCTAAACAAATTATTTGAGTGCATTTTTAAAATTTACAAATGAATCTAAATATAAATCTTAGTATCATTGCTTAGCAGATAAGTGTTTAGTAAATGTATACATAAACTACTAAAGCTTGTAACGGATTTCAATCCTGAAAATTTTCACTCAAACATCTGTGATTAAAATATTTATTTTTATTTTTGTAGTGGCAATACGAAAAATATCGATGCAATTATAGTTGAAGAACTGGCAGTGGACATTTATGAAGTAATAATACGGATGAATACTAGAGGATTTGAAACTGAGGCCAATAATCGTATACTCCAGTTCGTTAATGAAACATATCGCATTACTGCACATCAGTAAGGCATTCACAACATTTTAAAATATTTTCAAAAAGTTACAGCATTTAACATTTAAACTTACATCGAGGAGTCGACTTTGAGCGAATTTGGGCCTATTAATTCCAGACCAGTATAACAGTTGTGTGAAAAATTTAGTTTAATGTTACACATTTAAAGACGGTTTAAATGACACGTGTAGCCTCCAAAACGAGAATTCACTTTATGAAGTGTCTACTGAAAACATTTCAATTTCATATTTTTTTTTGTTATAAAGTTTAACATTTACTTAATAAAATATCTCTATCAAGGCTTAAAGGCCGATTATTTTTTTTTTCTAAAATTTTTCCATAAGTGGATATATTATAACTTATCAATAGTTTATTCTAATAAATCTAACTATTTTTCTAATAGCTAAATAAAAAATCGGCTTTTAGCCTACATAGAAAATATAGTAAGACTTACATAAAAATAAAATTGAAACTAAAATACTTTATCAGACTTTTGCTATACTCAGAGAAAAATAACTTTTTGACTTATGTTTATAAATAAACACTAGAAACAACTACAAAAATCCTTATATTTTTCACACTAAAATAAATCGCCATCCGTTGCATCTTAATAAACAGCCGTTTCCGTTATATATTTAAACCATGCGGATAGGTTATTTTTATTGTGGAAATTTAAAAAAGTTTTCATGTCGTGAAGACCCAAAAAATACCACTTTTTGACATGAAATGTATACATTTAATTTTGATAATATGGTTAATTATTTATTTGAAATTATTAATCGTCTCCCAACTTTGATCACAACGCGTTGGTCGCTCCAATCTCATTAAATAAAACCTTTGAGTTAACACAATAATCGATATTGTTTATTTATTTGTGAAAATGTGTATTTTTTTTAGTTTAACCATATATAACAATGGTAGAGAAGAAGATGATGATCCAATGCGTCATAGATCAAATAGGCGAGACAGTCGTAGAGGATAAGGACAGAAAATGAGCATCGCCGAAAAATCAATATATAACCACGCTAATCCAATTTCCCCCATTTAATCACAAATATACCTAAAGATAAACTTCGTAACTAGAAAACTTTAAAACATTTCATTTAGAATGTGTAGTTGAATTTTTTGAATGTGTCAAATTTAAAACATAATGTTTATTATATTATACAATTATCATTACCTATATTAATTATCAATATATTAACAATTATATTAATTACATATGAGTGGATAATATATGTTGTTTAATTTCAACTTGTTAGTTTTGTAAGCAAAATCCATATATTTTGTTTTGGACACTTAACATTGATATAGCTTTAGAAACTTTATCTTTTTCTAGAATTTTAACATGTCAATATAGATATCATAACCCTGGCTAAACTACCAACAATTTTCATTGAAATTTTTTTTTAATGGTTAATAAACTGGTATTATTATTGTTAGTAATAAACCACGAAAAGTAAATAGCTGGCAGAAATGATTAGCAGAAATGAACATTTACTTTTCATACAAATTTCATGTTTGTATTAGTTGAAACATAACATTAAATTTATTATTGTGTTTTAGGAAATGTTCATCTTAATACATATTTATATCAATAGTATCTAACGTAATATGAGCTATACATTGAGATTTAGGTAATTTTTTCATAACATCAACTTACCTAAGTCAATTGAAAAAATTATACCCTAATTTATCCATCAATGTTTTGCTACACTTTTATTTTATAGCTTATAATAATATTATTTTTTTTTAATTCCAATAAAAAAATAGTTATATTGTCGTGCTTATCTTTTTAGTGTACATAAAAAAAACACATAACTATTGATTATAATATTATTGTTTAAAAATATTTTTACTACCAGTTTATTCGTTTGCATAAGTTACGCTTTTTGGAAAATATAAATAAAACAACCATCAGCAAGAAATGAAAAATGTAACACTTTATGAAATATTTATTTCTACTACAGTTTACTAAAGTTGACTACTGCTAAAGTTCGGTTTTATTTCACAGCTGGTCTAAGCAAAGTGTGTTAGTGACTATATTGTATTTTCGCTAAAATATGAAGGGGCCCTATTTGGGTTATGATTTTAACATAGTGGTATCTAATATAAATAATAAATCAAAAGCAATTCAGTTAGAATCTATTCACGATGAAAATTTTGTAGATATTTCGAAGTAGGTTGGAAGTTCTGTCTTGACTTGGGAAAACTACAATCCTAAAGAGTATAAATATGAATATGTTTCTGGGGCTTGAACGCTCATTTTCTATGAAAACATGTATGTATACTCTGGCCCATATAAGAAAGATATAGTGTGAAAAAAAAATGCCTTTTAGTTCCTAAGAACTACCTTTCTTATATAAAGAATAAGTATAGTTTAGAAATAAATCTGCCTTGAGCTTTTGATTGACACCAATAATTTAATAGTATTAATATTAATTTTTGATACATTACCCAACACCAAACTAACAATAATAAAAGTTTCTGACTTAAGAAAAATGATTTCGTCGGCTGAATTGATATTTTTTTTATTTAAGTGTTAATACGAATCTTATGATTTTATAAGTGGCTAATTGTTTATCACTTTAAATTATATTTTTGAAAATTTGTTAAAGATATTTAGATATCAATACCGACACTATTATTGACTGTTGATAGTATTACTTTTTTTACATCCAAATCGGAAAAAAATTTTAATTAAAAATGAAAAAACTGTGTTACAACCTAATGTTATAATATTGTTGTTATTATAAAAACAAGTGTTTTTTAACTATGCATTAACATAGTCATCTACTAATACAAATATTTTATAATTTTAGTAGGCAACGATACGTTATTATTTTTACATACAATAGACTTATTTTGCTGTACACCATAAACATGGAAAACCTATACTGCCGTTAACCGTATAAAGCTTTATTTCAAAATATATATATATATTTTTAATTTCAATATACAGTTTTGGTGCACATCGGATAGAATGGCCAGGAAAGTAATAATCTGGGTTCTGTATTTTTTTATAATATACTATTATAACAGTGAAAAAACGTTCGCAAGTTACGCGGTCAAAAAAAACCTGGCCGACGTACTGAACTCACTTTTGGGCTATCGACAATGGGCACAGATTACCGACGTGCAAGTTAAATCACATCCGGACATTACAAACGAATGTGTTTCGTTTTCCGGCCGAGATTTATTTATTCACAGAGGTTTGTACTCGAGCGCTAAGAATATTGGAAATTCTCATGTCAGTGTCGATAACGCGTATGAAAAATACTACATGATCACTAAATTTTTGGGATGTGTTTATTCCCAAGTGACCTATACGTTTGCAACGTTGATTAAAAACATTATATCTGTTAACGCTTACCGAAGACGTTTGTCCAAAGATAGTGCACGCAAACGTCGTGTACTAAAGAGAATGCGTATGGAAAAATTGTACCGCGATCACGTGCCAGTTAAGCGATCAAGAACTTATATACAACATGATGATCATGGCGAAAATACTGGAGATTCGAAACACAAAGAGCACACATCAAACGACGAGGAAGAAAGCAAACAAGATAATGTTTCTGACCATTACCATGACATTTCGTTGAAAATTTTCAATTTTACGTACGAACAATTATTGCATAGTCAGCAAATGTTCAAATACATGTATGCGGCTTTAAGTTATTTATCTAGATTGATTCCGCCCAACGGACTTGTCTTTCATCCTAGCATAAAACACGTACGAGAAATATTAACGTTGGTAGAGTGGTACAGGGATATATCGATACATTTAAAACGCTCTTTCCCGACTAATATCAGCGTACTTGACGTCGAGTACAAGACTGCTAAAGGTGAGTCATTTACCATGAGATTAAAAAGAATTATTACTGGTAAGAATCGCCATTTGTTAGAGCCGTTCGTGAAAAAATATTGCATACTACCTGCGCCGGAAAAGCAGAACATCAAAAAAATGATAGGTACGTATCTATTTCAGTTTCCGTTAAAAAAAAATTCATATGATATCATATATCAATTTGGAATTGAAATTCAAGAGCTCGTAAAAATGGTCATCAAAAATTATCATTCCGATTTAGGTTTCGTGCACATAGAAGAGTTAGCACTTCATAACCTTTTATGATTTATTTTAATACATTTGAATGGACAATAATTATAAAAATATGTTAAAATATTAAAATACTTGTTAAATTATTATACAAAATTAGTATTACTATATAAAAGCCATTAACCCACCCATGATTCATTCTATTTGAATTGTTATTACAATTCTTAAATAGGAATATACCAATAATTTTTGTTTTGTGTGCAATTTTTTTACATTTGTTGAGTTGTTGAAATTTTTTTTGAAAAATATATAAAAGCACTTTAAAAAAACTAACAAGTTGCATAATATTCTAATCAATGTGTTGCATATTACCGTTGTTAATTTATTATTAACGATATTTATAAGGCAGTCGGTATTATGCAAAAATTGACCGTTGTTGTCTATGACATGATACATTTAAATAAATTTATACTATTTACTGGTAGGTTGGAAAATCCCTTTTGTTAGTCAATGAAAAATAAAATACTCAAACAAAAGGTGCCTTGTTGACATTATTTTACCGGTGACTCAATGATATATGTTTTTTAAGTTTTTAGTAAAAAGGTTCTATCTATTGTACAAACACTATTCGATTTAAATTGTTAGGTTCTAAACGCCGTATATGTTAGAATGTAGCGAACAGAAAGTATAAAGTATAATATAAAACATAATAATTAAAAACGGTAATAATAAACATTCAACAGTTTTATCATGGCGGACCAACGAGATAGGTTATAACGTTTATGCGCCGTTATCAAGGCAGCGGCGACGGCCAACGTTAATTAGATTTTTTTATTTTTCAAGAGCAATAATTATTACCTAGCCGACTCAATTTCTTTGGATGAAAATCGAAATTCTCGCCTTTTTCTTAATTAAATATGAATTTCTTTTACCTTTCAATGAAAACTTTTTTAAATTTCTGATACATCATATTTTTTGTATAAATTAAATCATCAAAGATTTTATGGAAAATTAGTAAAAATATTTTAAAAAAAACTACTTTTAAAACATCAGATGATAGATAGCATTTTCTTTTACTACTTTTATGTGCAGTTGCTAATGGGCATTAAATAACTTAAGTTAAAGAGAACTAGTACACGGGTTTATCCTGAACACATGTAGTTTAAATATTATAATTAAACTCTTATGAAATATAAATTAATTCGAATGTTTTATGTTCTATGATAAAGAGAGATTGTCATACTTTATCCAAAGGTTACCTGAATGTAATGTATATTTTCTAACAAAACAAAATTATGTAATACATATTTTGCATTTCTATCACAATAAGCTTTGAGGGGTCAATGGTGTAGATGGGTTATGTGGCGTCCTCTGGTTATCCATATATATTTTATTACTTAAACTACACACAAAAATGGCAGTGTGACAAAACGCCGAATTACGTACGAAAGCGATACCTCACAAGAAAATCGGCAAAAAGAAAACTTTTCATATGTACAAACACAGTCCATTCATAAGTTGGAATTATTGTTTCACCTCATTGTTTATCACTTTAAAATTTATTAAAGATATTTAGATATCAATACCGACACTTCTAATGACTGTTGGTAGTATTGCATTTTTTACGTGAAATGCGCATCGAGACAAAAATTTACTTAAAAATAACGAAACTATGTTACAACCTAAATTTAAAATGTTGTTATTTTTTTATAATAAAAACAAGTGTTTTATAACTATTCATATAACATCGTCTACAGTCGTCTACCAATACAAATATTTAATAATTTTAGTAGGTAACGATACGTTTTTTTTTTTAAACAGTAGACTTATTTTGCTGGAAAATGGAAAACCTAAACTGCGTTAACCGTGTAAAACTTTACTTTAAAATATATGTATTTTAAATTGAAATATACAGTTTTGGTGCACATCGGTTAGAATGGCCGGCAAAGTATTAATCTTGTTTCTGTATTTTTTTATAATATACTATTATAACAGTGAAAAAACGTTCGCAAGTTACGCGGTCAAAAAAAACCTGGCCGATGTACTGAACTCACTTTTAGGCTATCGACAATGGGCACAGATTACCAACGTGGAAGTTAAATCACATCCAGACATTACAAACGAATGTGTTTCGTTTTCAGGGCGAGATTTATTTATTCACAGAGGTTTGTACTCGAGTGCTAAGAATATTGGAAATTCTCGTGTCAGTGTCGATAACGCGTATGAAAAATACTACATGGTCATCAATTTGTTAGGATGTGTGTTCTCAAAAGTGACCTATACATTTGCAACGTTGATTAAAAACATTTTATCTGTAAACGCTTACCAAAGACTTTTGTCTAGAGACAGAGCACGCAGGAAAAGAGAACGACGCGAATTAAAGAGAATTCGTTTGGAAAAATTGTATCGTGATCACATGCCAGTTAAGCGATCAAGAACTCAAATACAACATGATCATCAATCACATGGCGAAAATAGTGGGGATTCGGAAGACAAGGAGCACACATCGGACGACGAGGAGGAAAGCAAACAGCATAATGTTTCTGACAATTGCTATGACATTTCGTTGAAAATTATCAATTTTGCGCACGAACAATTATCGCATAGTCAGCAAATGTTCATATACATGTATGCGGCTTTAAGTTATTTATTCAGATTGATTCCGCCCAATGAACATGATTTACATCCTAGCATAGAACTTGTACGATATATATTGCCGTTGGTAGAGTGGTACAGGGACATAACGATACATTTAAAACGCTTGTTTCCAACTAGTATTAGTGAACTTGATGTCGAGAACCAGACGTCTAAAGGTGATCTATTTGCCACAAGATTAAAGAGGATTATTACTGGTAAGAATCGGTATGCGTTAGATCCGTTCGTAGACAAACATTGCATACTACCTGTGCCGGAAAAGCAGAACATCAAAAAAATGGTAGGTACATTTCTAACTCAGTATCCGTTAAAACAAAATTCATATGATATCATATATCAGTTTGGAATTGAAGTTCAAGAGCTCGTAAATATGGTCATCAAAAATTATCATTCCGATTTAGGTTTCGTGCAGATAGAAGAATTAAAATTTGACAACATTTTATGATTTATTTTAATACATTTGAATGAACGATAATTATAAAAATACATGTTAAATTATTATAAAAAAATTAGTATTACTATATAAAACCCATTAATCCACCCATGACTCATTTTATTTGGCGTGTTATTTAAATTTTTAAATAAGATTATATCAATCATTTTTGTTTTGTGTGCAATTTATTCACATTTGCAGAGTTGTTCGAATTTCTTTTGAAAACACAAAACAGACAATAAGGTAAAATTATAATTTATGTTGAATAATAATTTGTTGGTAGATAGGCAATTTCAATAAAATACATTTTAGAATTTGACGGACGACATGCTGCCACTATGGGCATTTAGGGGTTAATGTTGTAAACGGATTTTGTGGCGTCCTCTGGTTGTCAATACATTTATTAGTAAACTACACACGAAAATGGCAGTGTGTCGAGGCGCCAAATTACTTATGAAAGCTGGAGGGTGTGTTTCTATATTCACCTTTCGTTTACACTGCCACTAGGGTAAAACGTACTTTAATATCCAACATCCCCCTGTTGAGGTGAACGGTATTGCGCAGAATCTTCTGACCCTTCTTTTGTCTCGAGACGAGACGAAATATAATCAATAACCCTCGTCCTATGTACATATGACATTCTGTACAGAGATTGTGGTATAGCCGGTCGGTGTTGTGTCTTTCTGGAAACCAAATAGTCCTTGTGGATCAAAAGCGCCTTATTCGCTGAGAACTAAACCGCGAAGCAACGAATAATCGCCTACGACACTAAGTACTCAATTTCGATTTATTTTTTGTCGTTGCAATTGTAGTCCATTTGATGTACCTAAAATTGGTTTATTGTTTTAGTTCAAAACTCCACTACAGTGACAACACATTGACCGCAGTTTACAGCAGACTATAGCTGACCGCTTTTGCTGTGAGTATTTGTGCGCCTTGACATAAACATTTTCATTTATAGTAGTATTTTAACATTTCTACCTGGCTATAATTACAGAAAACTACCTCCTGTCATAATTCTAGAATTGTGTAGGTATACCTACTGATAATTTTCAAGTAAATTTATAAAGGCTAAAAAAGACCACCCGTAATACTTGTAGTGGATTTCCAACTTGAACATTTTCACATGAATAATTCTGGTTAAAATATTATGTTTTTTTTTTTAGTAGCAGAATGAACCAAATTCATGCACTTACGTCTCGCAAAATCGGCAGGGATGGTTTTGAAATAAAAGTTCGATTTAATACTAACGGATTTATGAGTACCCATGGTAGACATATGTCCGAGATCTGTAACGCGTTATTAGTCGATAGTATACTGACGAGATTGGACAAGTAAGGATTTAACTGCCTAACCAGTATTACATTAGTAGCATAACACTGCATGTCTATATTTTAATATAATTAAATTTTTTTTTGTATACAGTACTGCTCTATTGTCCTTATAAATTTAACAAGATATTAAATTGTACTCCTTTTTTTTTTATTTTGAAAAGTAATTCTTTGGGATATGTTTTGCAACTAATAATATGTTCAATAGGTTAACAGGTACAAAATATTTTGAGCATAAAGACTCATATGAAAAGTGGAGTAATCCAATGGGTTATAATAATGGAGAAATTAGTTATTAGTACTAAATTTAAAAAATCAAAATTTATGACTGCATAGTTTATAAAACAAAATATTTGTTTCTATAGATGTTCTATGTATTCTATAGATATTGACATATAAAAATAAAATTACATGTTTCGGGATAAATAAAATAAAATCTAAAAATATGAATAGTTGTCAAACCGTATTTAAAAAATACAGACATGAAATATAAACAAACTAAGAAAGTTAAAAATAAATATCATATTATTTCAAAAATGTTATATTAGAACTTAGTGGATATATAAGTCACTTACTTCATCTAAAAATGTATACAAATTTATAATAAAACTAACGATTTTTCAGATTATTATGTTGTTATATTGTAATGTCATTATATTATATTGGTGCACAATTATTTCTAAAGTAAATTCTAAACCAATTATTTAAATGCGTATTTTAAATTTCCAAATGCATCTAAATATAAATCCCGGTACCATCGCTTAACAGATAAATGTTTAGTTAATAAATACCTGATCTTATAAAGCTTGTAGTGGATTACGGTCCTGAAAGTTTTCCCTCAAACATTTGTGATTTAAATATGTATTATTTTTTTTTGTAGTAGCAGAACGGATAATATCGAAACTGTTACGATTGAAGAAATTCGAGCGGATTTGTTTGAACTAGTGATACGGATGAATACTACTGCATTTCGAAACGGACCCAAAAATCGTATATTCCAGTTCAGTGCCGACGCATTAGGCCTTACTTTACAACAGTAAGGCGTTAACGATAATTTAAAATATAATAGGAAGATACAACCTTTATGATAATACAATACTAATAATTACAAATATAAAAAAAACCGTTTTTTAATCACGAAAAATATAAAATTCAATAAAACGTAGGCATAAAATGAAAGATAAAACCAATAAGTAATATGATAATAATAGTAAAATAAATAAGTCAATAAAAAAATTTATATAGATGGAAAAAAAAAGAAAAAATCTTTATCAAATTAAATAAGTAATATAGTTTACCGTTTTATAATAAGGTATTTATTTTAGCAAGAAAAAAACCAAAAATTATTTCTATTAAAATTCCAGCCTTTAAGCCTTGGAGTCGGCTTTCAGCGAAATTGGTTCTACAAACCAGACTAGTATAACAATATTATTGTTGTGGGAAAAATTTTAGTTCATTATTACACTTTTAGAGCCGGTTTATGAACACGTGTAGTCTCCAAAAAAGATTTCAAAGCATTTTTGTTATAAAATTTAACATCTTCTTCATAAAGATCTCTGTAAGAGCTAAATGGCCAATTTTTTTCCTTCAAAATTTTACTAAGAGCGGTTATATTTTCAATTTTCTATAGTTTTTTCTAATAAAACCAACTGATTTTTTAATAGCTAAATTCAAATAGCCCGCATTGAGAATATAATAGGTATTACATAAAAAAAAAAAATTAAATACGATTTTTAATTTAACTTTTACTATAACTCAGAGAAAAATGACTTATTAACTTTTTTAAATAATCACAACTAGATAGTCTTAATACTTTTCCCCACTAAAATTGTCGGCATATTTAAAATGGCTCCCAAATCAATTTCTTTATCAAAATTGCCTATCTATTGCCCCTTAATAAATAGCACTTTCCGTTAAATATCTAAACCATGCGGTTAGGTTATTATTATTGTGGAAATTTAAAAAGGGTTTCACGTCGTGTGGACCCAAAAAATACCACTTTTTTACATGAAATGTAAACATTAAAATGTATTAACATTGTTAATTATTTACTTGCAAATGATTAATCGTTTGCCAACCTTGATCAGGAATCTCGGGTCGCTTGAATCTAAATAAATAAAATCTTAGAGATTTACACAATTGTGGATATTATATATATATATATATATATTTGTTAAAATGGTTTTTTTTTATTTTTAGTTTGGCCCTAATTAACGGTCGTCCAGGCGAAAGTTTGGAAGAAATGCGTCAAAGAATTTTTGGGCGAAGCTCTCGAAGTGGATAAGGACAGCAAATAATCTCCAATGAAAAATCAATTAGTCACGCTAATCCAAATTTCCCTATTTAAGCATAAATTTACTTAAGAAATTTCTTCGTTACTAAAAAATCTTTGAATAAGCTTCATTTAGAATGTGTAGTTGCTTTGTTTATTGTAACAATTTTAAAACATAAAGTTTATTATATTATAAAATATTATCATTACCTATATTAACTATGATTATATCAAAAAATATATATATTCAAGTGGCTAAAACATGTGTTTAATTTAAACTTGTTAGTTTTGTAAGCAAAATCCATATATTTTATTTGCGGCAGTTTACATTGATACTACGTTAGAATCTTTATCTTTTTCTAGGATTCTAGTATATCAATATAGATATCATAAACTTAATCTCAGTATGCATTTTACAAAAATATTTTTAAAAAAAATTAATTTTATTTTTGTTTTTAAATCAAATTGCCAGTGTTTCAAACGGTATTTATAGCAAACGGTCATATTTTAATACTACTAGAATTTACATTTTTGCCTGGCACTATAAACTGCATCTGTCTAAATTTTTATTAAGGTGTTATTAAAGTGTCACTTTATCTGATTTCGATAATTTTTTATTATAGTAAAACCACACTTTTATCTATTCTGTGGTAAAACTACATTATTATAAAACCGGCACGGAAGCCAAGACAGTGTGATGTGGTTATAACGAAGGACTAAATTAGCAAACAAACGGTAATAATAGTATTGTATAAATACAACAAGTAAATCCCGTGAATTCTTAAGTATATATAATTATTGTTACCTGCTGGTTAGTTGGACTACCACGATTCCAATCAGATCACCGTATCGGTACTAATGATCCACATTTACTATATTGTTATTACTGTAGGTGTAATTATTATTATAAATAAAATATACAAAATATTTTAATTCTTTAAACATTTATTCAATAATATTTGTGTGGAAAGGGGACATGTCTTGGATTTGAACTTCAGTGTCTGATATTTCATTTGCAGTATTGCAGATTATTGACTTGTTCCAATTTCACACAGGACCTCTAATATTGAAGAAAGAAAAAAAACCTAGACACCTGTCATTGCACTGACACACAACTATTGTACTTTTCTTATTTTATATTTTAAGTTAACAAAGAAGTCTTATATTTTAAACATTCTTTGAAATACTAGCGTGGAAAGGAAACCTGTCTGTTTTTACACAAAACTTATATTGAAGATAGAAAAATAGAAACCTGAACACCTGTCATTGTACTGACACACATGTGTTTTACTTTTCTTATTTCTTATTTTAGGCTATAGTTCTATTTTCGTTAAACAAAATAACGTCAAGTAAAGAATAATAAGTAGGTACATACATAAGAGAAAACCCATATTGTATAATTATAAAATATATTTTTTATTTGTATTCAACCCTAAGGTTAGTTAGCAGTCTCCAATAATCTCTATTACCAGCCAACCTTTTAATCTGGGTGTACATATTCAACGCGTTTATTAATATAATTACAAATTTTATGAGTTTTATTACTAATGTCGAGGTCACGTACACGTGGGTGAATGCCACGCCGCTCATTTCTAAGGAGTAAAGTATAGGCAATTTGCTTACAAACTCTTAATTTAAAGGTGTACAATTATTAGTTTAGTAATTGGACTCTTTTTTTTTTTTTTTTTTTTTTTGGATAGTTAAATAATTTTTCGGACTATCACAGCATTCTTGATAGACATTTAATTTATTTTATCATTTATAAATTCACATACATTTAAAATTGATTTGATCACTTTTAGTAATAATTATAAAAATCTCTTAAAACTGTTATGTGGAAAATCTGCGGTTCAGCATTGTAACACTTTGAAATATACAACATTATACACTATTTTACAAGTATGTATTCGATAATATTTCTTGACAAATCACGTGACCTCACAATTAGTAATAAAAACTCATGAAATTTGTAATTATATTAATAAATTCGTTGAATATTTACACTAAGATGAAATAGTTGGCTTAGGGTTGAATACAAATGATAGTTTATAATAATACAATATGGGTTTCTTCTTATATATGTATTATTTGACGTGATTTTGTTTAACGAAAATATAACTATAACCTAAAATAAGAAATAAGAAAAGTAAAACACACGTGTGGCCGTACAACGACAGGTGTCCAGGTTTCTATTTATCTACCTTCAATATAAGTTTTGTGCAATATTGTAATAAATCAATAAATACAAATGAAATATCAGACGACGTAGTTAATGTTTTGTGCAAAAAGGGAACAAATCTAAGACATGTTTCCTTTCCAAACTAGTACAGTTCCTTTAAACATTGTTCAAAATATAAGTGTCTAAGTTTTTGTTTTTCTTCCTTCAATATTATAAGTCCTGTGTAAAATTGTCAACAAGTCAATAAACTGCAATACTGCAAATTAAATATCAGACACTGAAGTTCAAATCCAAGACATGTCCCTTTTTCCACACAAGTATTATTATAAAAATGTTTAAAGCATAAAAAATTTGGATTTTCTAGATACTATATCTTACAAATAAATGACAGCTTTAATTTTAAAACAGGATTTTATTACAACATCTATATTTTAAAAGAAACTAAAATAGTAAAGTGCAAAAAAGGACGTTCCCAATTATTCAAAAGGTAGGCTCATATTAATTTTACAATTAACATATAATATTTATAAAAAAAATGTGCTGTCAAAAAGGACAAGTATTTAAAAACAACCCTCTAAGGTTATATAAAAGCAATATAAAGTTAAGAACAAACAACAAGATATATAATACATAATTAGGATTATTACACATGATAATGTAAAAGAACATATAATATAGTTATACTATAGTAACAATATGTATTAATACTATGACAGTTTATTTATTTTTATAGCTAGCTCCTTTCTAGCCTCACTTAGACAGTTTTTAGGGCCTTTAGGGTTTTTCGCCAGTGTGTACTTTTTTGTGATGAAGTTTGAGGCTGGTGTTTCGCTTATAACATTTGAAACAAATGTTACACTTGTAGGGTTTTTCGCCAGTGTGCTTGCGTTTGTGTACTGTGAGGTTGTAGTTATGGGCAAACGACGTTAAGCAAATGTTACACATGTAAGGTTTTTCACCGGTGTGCTTGCGTTTGTGTGCTATGAGGTTGCAGTTATAGGCAAACGACGTTAAGCAAATGTTACACATGTAAGGTTTTTCACCGGTGTGCACGCTTTTGTGTGATTTGAGGAGGGCTTTCCGTGAAAACTTTTCTGGACACACATTACATGTATAAGGATTACCGGAGTGTAAAAGTGTGTGTCTTTTGTAACTGGCTTTGGTGGTAAGATATTTGAAGCAAACGTTACATTTGTAGGGTTTTTCGCCAGTGTGCCTGCTTATGTGTACTGTGAGGTTGCATTTATAGGAAAATGTCCTCTGGCATATGTTACATTTGTATGGCCTTTCACCAGTGTGCACTCGTTTGTGCCCTGTGAGGTAGGATTTCTGTTTAAATGTTTTAGAGCATACGTTACACGTGTTAGACGTTTCCTCAGTTTGTGACAATGACTTAAAGCACAAACCACTTTTGTATTTTCGATTGTTACTTATGTTAAACTCTTCAGTATGCTGCTCGCCATGTTTAGAGTTAGGTTTTCGGGGAGATGGTGTGTTTAGGCAATTTTTGTTTTCTTGAGTTCTGTGTGATTGTGTTATGTGTTGAGCCACTTTTTTTTTGGTGTTAAACGACCTGCGGCACACGTCGCAAACAAAGCGTGTCGGCGTTTCGTCCAAATCGCTGTCCATTGTTTCTTCGACAACAAGCTCTCTTTTTTCCACTTCAATAAAAGACTCAAAACGACATCCGTTCAGTAAAGTTACTTCTTCTGTGATTATCGTCCCGTCGTCCGTTTCTCTTACACTAAACATAAAGAAATATTTCGTTAAGCTCTAAAATAATATAGAAATAGTTATAGTTTTCAAAATCCAAAACAATCTACCGATTTTCAATCAGCAAACTTTAACCATTTAAATAAATAGATTTAAAATAGTGTATGTTATCTTATTTTTTAAATAGTGTACATTTAGGTACAATGTTTAAATAGATTTAACTTGTATGAAATCCTGTCAATTGTTTTTTGTAGTTCGTTCTGGGTCGTCAAACAACTATCACATACAAGCAAGTCATACAGTAATTTGGTATAACTTTTACCTCAGAAAAGATAATTTAAAATACAAAGTAGAACAGTAATACTCACAGAGTTTGACAATTTTGAATATAACTCTCGATTACACTCTTTAGCTTTTCAAAAATAGTAAGAAATCATATATTAAGTTAAGCGGTACTGTTGTATACCCAGTAAATAAAGGACAATTGCTCTACCTCGGAAGAGATAAATAATAATTGTTCTGAATTTCGATTTCATTATGGGTAGTTTTTAAATTTAAACTCTTGAGTAATAAACATTGGATAGTTCTAGTGTTTACTGAGTCACTTTAGGTGGGATAAACTAAATAATTACATAGTAAATAAATACATACGGCCCATTTTTTTTTTTTAATTATTTAAGTGAAATTTAACAATTTTTTTAATATTTCTGTAAGTCGTTAGGAAAAAACTAAAGGTTAATTAAATAGGTATCTAGATAATTCATTTTTAGATCATAAAAATATTTTTAATGAGTTTGTTGTCAAACTAAATTTTGAATGAATAGCTATAAAGCTTCGTTGGTAAACTAAAACGATTCGTTTAGTTGTAATTCACTTTAAGATCAACTAATAAATTATATTTTAAGCTTCGACTTGTATCTTAGTAATATTAATAGTTTGATTAAATTTTACATAAACAGTCAGCTTAGTTTTCATTTTTAAATATTATAGATGATTCAATATAAAATATCTATTAAAAATCTAGATTATAATTTAGGTAGGCCCTATGAACAGCATAAATGTATAAACGTTATTTGATAATATTAAAATCAATAAAACTATTTACTATACAATTATATTGTATATAATGCAATATTTACTTGTAATAATTGTGTTTGGGTGTTTTTTGAAGATCGTTTTCGTTTAGGGTTGGTGCACAACTATTACATGGTTTTTCCACGAAATTCGGTTCTGTTGTTCCCTCAAAGGCTTTGAGCAGCTCTTCAAGCTGTTTATTTTCTTCTATTACGATAGTGGACTCGTAGTAGGAATCATGTGTTTCATCTATCTCAACTTTAACTCTAAAAGACAAAATAAACTTATAATATGAATATTTACAAGTAACAACTTAGAAGATGTACAATTTCTATGCATGGCGATTGAAGAAATTATTAGAAAGATATAAAACACCAAATTGTTTCTTTTTCTTAGTAACAAAATAAACTTTTCATATTTAAAATATCGTATTACTTATAGGTATTGCCGTCAGTTGTATTATGAGAATCGTTCTGGGTCGGTACGCAAGTATCATTTGAATTTTCATTGTTAGTCGGTTTGGTCCCTTTTTTGTTGGCTCCGATGAGTTTCTCCGTGGATTGTTCGTTTTCTTTTACTTTAAACATACTAGTCTCGTTACTACACAACGTCCGTTTCAATATAGATTGCACACTGGTTTCTCCCTTTGTTAAAAATTAATAATAATCAGTATAGGTTCAACGGCTAAGTTGTTCAAACAAATTACAATACATAAATTATTTATTTTGCCATTTCGACCCACTCAATTTGAATATCCGAACTTGAAATGATGTTCAAAGAATATGAATTGTACAATTAATTAGTAGGTAAGCCAATAAAATGGTCAAAAGATATGGGAGTGTCGAGATAATTACCTACAGTCTATCTCTAAGTTATAGAGCATTTTAAACAGAAAATAAATTGTATAAAATTATGAACTATACTTATCAATTCGTCCCTGCGGTCGTAGATAGAGAATGTCTCTCTACAAGTCTAAAAGTTATAATAAATATAAAATATAATATATAAGACCAACAGAAAAAATTTTTTTTTTGTTTACCCGAAAAATCTCTTAATTTAAGGTAAAAAAAAGGAAAAGTCAAAATTTGAATTTGAACGGATAATATTTAGAGGTTACATTTTGTCAATTTCATTAAAACGTATAAAGATAATATATATATATTATATTTTTTTTTATTATTATATATTTTTCAATTATAAAGCTACAATATTCGGAAAAGGCTCGCTAAAGAGATAGCGAATAAAACATTAAAAAAGTATACGAAAAAAATATTTGATTTATTATTGGTTTATTGACTAAATTTCTTATTATCTTAAAAAACAGAATTTTTGTTTTTAAATTAATTTTCAAGTAGTGATATTAAATATTTTTTTTTTTAAGTTTTAAACATAATCTTTCCTCAATTAAAAAAAAAACCATTCTTGTCAAAGCAAAATTACAAATAAACAAATTATCTAGCAAATAATTGTACCTATGTAATGTGCTGGCACCCTAAATACGTTATCAAAGAAATTTTCATCTACCGGCTGATGTTATAAACGTAGATTTTTCAGATATATATTTATTTTTCCCAAATTCGAGATAATTTAATTTATTTAAAAGAAATTGCTTAGTTTAAAATTAAATAAATTGGGCATTGAACGGTTAAATGGTAAGAATTCGCAAAGTCTAATAACTGAAGTTAATCCGACGATGAGTCCCTGGGCTATCTACCGTTACAACCTACAACGTCTTTGGAATCGATATTTTATTATAGCCGGGTGGTATGTATACATTGTGTTTGTATGAATTTCCCTCTGTGCTTAGTGGATCGGTTACTGAATAATAACCAGAAATGGGACTAATAATAAAACTCTAGTTGGTCTATTAGAGACAGAACGGTTATATGTTTATGTCAAAGCACACTATACTCACAGTGAAGTGGTCAACTGCAATCCGCTGCAAAACTGCGGCCAATGAGTTGTTACTGTAGTGGAATTGACTAAAAAAAAAAATTACAAATTGTAGGTACATCAAGAGGACTAGGCGGTATCTACAATATTAACGACAAAAAATAAATCAAAATTAATTACTTAAGCAAGCTGCGTCGTGGGTGATTTTTCGTTGCTTTACAGTTTACTTCTCAGCCAGAGAGATCCACAAGAACAATATTGCTGTTGATACGTTTGCGCTGGTGTTGCGTTAAATGTTTTATTGGGCGTTTGATCTGAAGAGTAATATTGTTAATTTTCGCAAAGAAAAAAACGTTCTTTGGTCGTCCAAAGTCAAAAACACGAATTAAATATTCAATTGGTATCCGTTGTGGCGCAGCACCGACCGACTATACCACAAACTGTAGACTGAATGTAATATAAGTACATAGAGGGGGCCGAGCATTATTGATGTTATTTCGACAAAAGAAGGGTCAGAGGATTTGCGCAGATGCGTTCCTCTCGAAAGGGGGAATGGCAAAAGGGATTGTAGACATTAACTGAATACAATAACGCACCCTATTCTGGCCGTTGCTGCAATTACACCGTTAGAAATTTGGCACCACGTCACGTTGCCATTTTTCGCGTGTAGCTTAATAACAAACGTATTGACAACCAGAGGACGCCGGATTATCAGTTAAAAATAACATTGAATTAGTTAAGAATTTATCGGATTTTTCAACTGCAGACAAATAGTATAGGTACTAATATTATCTTTTGATGTAGTAGCTCTTTTCCCGAGTGTACCCATAAAAGTGACACTACAATATTTGACTGAACGGCTATAAGCGCACTACTAGATAAAGGGAAAACAACAGAATTAGTAAATCTAACAAAGTTGTGTATGCGTGAAAATGTTTTTCAATGAAAGTTTTTTGAACAAACAGCAATGGGAAATCCTTTGTCCCTGCAATAATACCTGAAGATTTTGATGAGCCTAACTTTATTAACAAATTAAATTCTCAATACATCTAATATATATATATATATATATATATATATATATATATATATATATATATATATATATCACTCCTGGCCGCACAAAATGGCTGCTTGTAAAATATATTCCTATAAACGCTACTGATTTCAAAAACGAAACAAATATTATTAAAGAATCACAGCCACATTCAACGGCTATAATAAAAACAAATACAATGATATTGAACAAAATACAAATAGATCAACAATGTTATACATCCCAGGAATTTAAAATAAATTATTAAATATTTTTTAAATAATACGGAATCCAGTTAGTTTCATAAAAAAAAAAAAAAATTTACAAGACTTTTTGGGGGGAGGAAAAAACAACGCTCATAAGTATATTTTTACTGTGATAAAATCACAAGTGAATCACTTTGTTAATTTGACTATCAAAATATATTATATTTATAAGCAGTTTTTAAAAAAATGATTTTACCATATTTGCTTGAATTTGAAAAGCCCGCGCTTTATTGGGACGCGTCAGCCATTTTACCTCCACGGACGCCGCGGCGTTGCACCTCCACGACGTTGTACCTCCACGGTAGTTTACCTCCATGGTGGTTTACCTCCACGGTAGGCGTCCCACCTCCACGGTAGGCGTCCCACCTCCAGGACGCGGTGCGCCGCCCGAACTGCCTCCGCGGCGAAAACAGCTGTTTGTGGGCGAGGCGTCCGCCGCGGTTGATAACGTTTTCCCGATGATAACCCCATTCTGGCTGTCTGTGTGTACCCTTTATTTGACCCCGCGTCCGGCAATTATTAAAGCACTACGGTAATAATTCAGTCCTCCTCGCAAAACAGCTCGCCGTTTTTTCTGTTGGTCAGCCGCTAAACCGAAATTTCCCGAAATCCAACAATGATGATGATCAGCAACTCGACCAAGGTGGTTTGCCTGTAAGTATATTGCGGCGCGCCCGTGGCCGACAAACGTGGCGACGGTCGGCGTAAATGGCGTTAATTTGGTTTTTTTTTTTTTATTCGGTTCCAGCAAAGGCGCCGCCGTCCAACAGCAAAACCGGTCGATGGCCACCCTGAAACACATTCAGATGCGTCTCAAGTCCGTCAAGAACATCCAGAAGATCACGCAATCCATGAAGATGGTGTCGGCCGCCAAGTACGCTCGTGCCGAACGCGAGTTGCGCCAAGCCCGTCCGTACGGCGACGGCATTTCGGTAAGACGATTGACGGTGCACACCTACGTTGGTCGTTGCTACTCGAAACGAAACGAAAACATTGTTTGAACGTAATATCGCCCTTAAAAGAGTTAATGTAGTCGTATTAGTAAATTATCTTCTTATCTTATCACCTAGAGGTACAAAACTAAGCAATCACCTGATTGTTGCGGTAATATTAGCTGCCAGTACACTAAAACAAAATTGTTCTGTTAGAGTTATAGTTAATTTTTATTTCCAAAAAGTTGTAGGTTCGAAATTAGATTCTGAAAAAAAATAATGTTTAGTATATTATATTTTATCTTCCTCGTATTTCAGTTGAACAATTTGTTGTAAATAAAAAGGTTAACAAACTGTTGAAGACACAGAAGTAAGCACAGATTCGATAACTTATTAACTTAACAATTTTACCGTTACTACAAACTAATATTAATTTAACAAGTTATTCTTTGTAAATAACGAAATCACCCCGAAAACTCTTATCACATTGAGGATTGTTAAATAACTATCAAAAGTGACAAAATGACAATTAGGTTTTCCTTTACATTTTTTTACTGTATTTAATATCGACCGTTTGCAGGCTATTTGGTGTAAGCGCCAGAAACTAAATAATTGTCTAGGGTAGCCCAAAAACTATTCATAAATTATATGAACTAACTTGTTCTACATACTTTATTTACCATACTTTTAATTAACTATACCAAATATTAAAAGTTATATAGGGAGTTGTCATTTATAAAAATTGGTTTTTTTAAAGTTTTTCATATTGTTGATAACATTGTAAAGTTGTCCCGTATGCCATTCACATTTTTTTGAACACAGCTAGTACCAATTTAGTGTTGCTTATAACCCAAGTATTTAAAACATGAAACATTTTTGTTGCTTACGACAAACACCGATTATGTCACTTACGCCTCGATGACAAAAAGTGTATTTCTAGAAAATGGTCGCGTTAGCTAAATAGCCGTTTTAACCGACAATATCTGGTTTTTACAAATTTTAGGTGTTGTAATATAAACTATTTTATTTACCACTTTTTTTTGCAAAAAAATAAAACCCCCTTTCTGTTCTTTATCTAAGAAATGTAAAATTGCTTGAGTAAATATATTTTTTTACTGTCACATAAATTAAATTTTAAACGTTTAAAACAATTTAAAATCACAGCTTAAAAGCAATGTAATGTTTTAGTAAAACGACTTCACTCTTTTGTGAAGTACACTTTGAATGATAGAATAACGTCTCTCTTGCATCTAGAAGGACGTTTTGTGATGTAGTTTTTGGGTTAAGTTTGTTTAATATACTATTGAGTTTTAATATACTTTTTACTCTTTTCAAGTGTCATATTTGAATTGAAGTAATTTAAATTAATTTAAATTTGATTTTTTTTTTTAGGCATTTTTTGACAAATCTGGCGCCACCGAAGTACCAGAAGGAGCAGAAGACGAAGGTAACAAACTGATCGTAGCCATTACATCCGATCGTGGTCTGTGCGGGGGAGTCCACACAAACGTGTCCAAAATGATACGTAATGAATTGGCCACCGAAACTGGCGATAATGGTACCAAAGTAGTGTGCGTCGGTGACAAGTCTCGAGCTATTCTGCAGAGGTACGTAATTACTTATGTTAGTTTGGGACATGTAAAATATCATCATCATCATCATAAGGGCTTATAGGCCTTTAAGGCTCAACGCTGCCACAATGAGATGATGGTTTCTTGACAGACTCGATGTCCGGGCGGGTCGCCAGTCCATCGCCGAAAAAATATAGAGTTATAATTGAATAATTTTGAATTATTTCTCGTATTATATATTATGCCGTTTATATGTTAAATTTAATAGACAATGCTTAGAACATTTGCTAAAACAAAAATGTAAAAATCGTACATATAAAATTTGTTCGCCTTCATTTTCAATGAAGGCGAACAATCTAACGAAAATAATCTAACGCTTTTGCGTTCATTTTTCTATAGAACAATCTTTAGTCCTAGATAATAAACAATGGGTATCTTGAAAATAAATAAAAAATTTCTTAAATATTTATTTAAAACATATGTCACCAAGATAAAGATTTGTGGTTATCGATAGTTGCCGGCGCACCTATTTATCACGGTCTCAGTAATTTTAATGTTGAAAACATAATAAAAATAGAATAGAATTAAATAGAATTTTTTAATTTACATTTATAAATATATATATTTTTCACGGTTATTTTTAATAAACAAAAAATTCTCCATATTATTTTTATTTCATTTGGGTATACGCTTTTATAAGTCACAATACGGGACATAATGTTACTGTTCAAGTTTTGTTTTAAAAATTCTTTGTCAATCGGATTAATGTTTTTAAAAATGTTGTTCAACTATTTTCGACATAACAATTTAAATGATTCATTGCATTCTATTTGCAAAAAATTGTCTTAAACAATAAAAAAGAGTTCTAATTTTTCAAAGAATGAAACAAAAATTGTTTCTCTACTACCTCCTTTCTATGTAATCACTTCCGATAAATAACAATTTTCAAGTTACCAATAATATAGTTTGTACGTAACTAATCGCATATTTTCATTTTAGACTTTACTCCAAAAACATTTCCGTTGTCGCTAAAGAAGTCGGCCGTAAACCGCCCACGTTTTTGGACGCATCAAAGGTGGCCAACCAATTGATCAATTTGGATTACAGCAGCGGCAAAATCGTCTTCAACAGATTCAAGTATTATTATATTTCAACCAAATACAAAAGCATAATATTATATTACTCATCATATTTATCTGTTGCCGTCGTTTAAAGGTCTGTCGTGTCTTATCAAACCGAAGCACTTCCGTTGTTGAGCACAAAGGCCATGTTGGCTGCTCCGAAATTGCAATCGTACGACAGTCTCGATCAGAGCGTGGTCGAATCCTATCAGGAGTTCACCATGGCCGCGTTGCTTTACTACACCATGAAACAGGGCGCTTGCAGCGAACAGTCAGCAAGGATGACGGCCATGGACAATGCCAGCAAGAACGCCAGTAATTATTCACAAACACTATTTATTGAAATAACATGATTTTTTTTCATACTATTGTTTTTTTTTTTTTTTTAACGTGTTATGAGATTTGTTTGTTAACGTTGTGTCTGTCATCGTTTAGGTGAAATGATTGAAAAACTTCAGTTGGCGTTCAACCGTACCAGACAGGCCGTCATCACCAGGGAGTTGATCGAAATTATTTCGGGAGCCTCGGCTTTGGAATAATCATTTGTATTGTTATTATTATTATATAATATAAAATAGATAAGGAGGACAACAACAACAACAAGTAGTTGACCGACGGGGCGACCAACACCGTATATAATATACAGAACGTAAACATTTTTATTCATTTGTAAAATTCCAATATTTATTATTATACACGCTTACCTTAAAAAAAAAAACTGTTCCGAAATGTTATATAGTCGTTTGATTACTGCGTAAATCATTTGTATGTAGTAATCTATTGAAATAGATAAATAAAAAAAAACAATAAAGTAAACATTTTGTTTTTGTATATTCTATTGGTACTATAAATATTTTAACGAGAACCAAATTTTGTTGTTCAAGTCACGCTTAGAAGGAAAAATTAAAATATAAAGTTAAATAAATAAGATAAAAAAAGGAATCTAACAATAAATGAACATCACAATAATAAATCAACATCACACCTGGGTATAATTAAAATCAATTTTTTTTTTAAATTATTCAAGTAAAAATTTGAAAAACAAAAATGTAATTATATTGCATCATAATTTAAACAAGGTCAATATTGACCACAGATATAGGATTTAAATATTTGTTATTAAAATAAAATTATTATTTTATTAACTAAAATAAGTACAATTTAAACAGAAAATAATAATGTATTTAAAATATTGAGTTATTAAAAAAAAAAAATCAAATGTGTATTATGTAATAATAATGAAAATGATTAAATAATTATTATTATAACTCATTATGAAATTAACTATTTATTTTATATTTATACGATAATATTAGACAATGACTGTTTATTAAAACTGTTTATGGATGCAGTAAAAAACAATTTAGGTATTTTAAATGTTTCATTATATTTTACTATTTAAATAACACAGTTCTTAGTCTCGGTTGTAACCTTCTTTGTCTAGAACTTTGACTCTTTTCATCGGCTTAGTCTCTAGAAGGACTTTATTTGGTCGACATCAACCGATTTATAAGACTATTATTTTTTATCATTGCTCAAAAACTTTTGTTTTAAGTTCACACTTAGAATTTAAATAATAATAATACTATTTTTTAGACATGTAAAATTTTGAAATTAAATATTAACTAATAAATTGTATATTGATTTAACTGTATTCATTTGTGAATTCAAGTGTTTTGCAAATAATTACATAAATTTAACTAGGAATAGGGCTTGGAGATTTAATTTCAGAAACTATTGTCGACATATTAATGTTCAATAGCGGACCGAAGGTTTACGTAGTTGTCGTTCAAAATACGGTAAAAAAATACATTTTTTGTTGAATGCAACTTTTTTAAATTATTATATTATTGTTCATAAGTAAACATTATAATTTTAAAAAATGTCTTGTGACTTACCAATTGATATTTTTTACTATTATCGAAGAGCGCTGGAAAAGTGCCGTTCCCCTTCAGCGTCATGTGTAGTGAATTCGCCATAAGATTTTTTTTTTCCCTTAATAAATGTTATAAAATATAATGTATTATGTTATTAAGCTCTGCTCGTTTTTTTAATAACATTTTTTACTGTGATTTGTTTTTGAATTGAGGTTTAAAGCCTGTGGTGCCTAATTCAGCTGTTATTTTACAACAACTGGAATACGTAACTCGTTTGCGTATGAAAGAGCGTTAAATACACAAACTATAAACTAGTTATCACATTTTTTATTTTCTAAATATTAATTTTGTGCGATAATTATGTATCTATAGTTTTTTAATATGATATTTTTTACATTAGTAGTTATTAGGACCACATACTACCTAGTAGAAAAAGCTTATCAATTATGCTAATTTAAAAAAAAACATAATATTTTCTTTATTAAAAATATAAAATGAAAGGTACCTATACACAAAAATTTAATTTTGTTTTTAAATCAAGACATATTTCATGTTAAAAAATGAATTAATTAAATAATTTCATATAAATAACGAGATGTGTTACGAGAAAAGTGATGGTTTTGACTTGAGCGTTTTAAGTTTAAGCAATAAAACAGGAAACCTTATAATTTGGTTTTATTCAAGACTTGTGATCCATATTTTGAGTCCGTTATATCTGTACATATTGTAATATGTCTACAAAATATAGTTTTGTACTCCCATAAAATACAGGGAGGATATACAAACCTAAATGGTGTTCATAATACCTTAAGAATTATAGTTGTGGTCGGAATGGGCAATATATTTTAATAGGATTTTAAATCCTTTTTTTTTTATATTGATATTCAGATACAAAATAAGATATTCAATCAGGCATTAAGTTGTTTAATACTTAATTTGTTTAATAATTAAACTATGTAATTTAGTCATTAAAAATTTTACTCGACACAGAAAAATGACATTAATCTGTTAAGGTACTGTATACCTATATAGATAGGTACATGTAAAATAGTGTTTGGTGTAATACATTGTATAATACAGAATGATTTTTTTTATCATGGCCCACTCAATATCTCACTGGGTTTAAATAATGATTACATTTTTCCATTGTGTTTTTATAATATAATGTGATATCAATTTTCCACAAATTATTATGTTTCTCTTTTGTCCCTCCAAAAATAGTTTTTTTTTATAGCAACTTTTGAAACTTAAACGGTAACGTATATATATTTATTATTTTTTAAATTAAGAATATTTCACTAAAAATGTCGATTGCTTGATAACCAGTTTTGGATAATTACATTTTAAGTTGAGGCGCATAGAGCCAGAACAGCCTAACCCACAAAAAATCAAAATCTGTTTTATGTGATAAAACGTTTCAGATTGATATAATATTTGAAATGCACTATGGCTATCCCACAAAAAAATTATTCACTAGATGGCAGCACATGATTGTTTTTGGCACTGTGATTATGAAATATAATTTATAACTTTAAATTGAGTAGTACTCTATAGATGGTTTAAAAGGCAAGGATTTATACATAATAATGAGTTTTTGTTATTTTCCTTGGAGTGGATTTAATAAGAAAAAAAAAAATTAAAAAAGTAGTCAAAACTTTAAATGCCCGTCCTACGTCCTTTGTGGGTTAGGCTGTTCTGGCTCTATGCGCCTCAGTTATAAGAGTTTAAAAGCGAGATATTGAGTGTCTTATGTTAAAAAAAAAAAAATCACTCTGTATGTAAGATAAACGAATGAATGTGTGAAATAAAACCATTAAGGGGATTGCATGCGGTCTGTTTTTAAGGAGTTTTGCAATGGCAATATTTAAGAAGAAAGAGAGTGTAACCTAACCGACCATGTCAATTAATTTACCGGTTAATCTATATAGGTAATGTTGAAGCTATTTTTTTAAAATTGATAATTATCTACGATTTATTTTGCCACCAATCGTTCGCTGTACAAAAATTGCTAAAAAGGTCAAAAAGGCGGCATTACCTTTGCCGGCGATGGCTTTTGACGAATACGGCGTTCGTCTTATGCGCTCCTGGTACCGTTAGCGTCACTTAGCCCGAGGGTGCCTTCCCCTTTTGTGATCCGGGAGCGAGCCAAGCTATCCCATCGTACCGAAAATTCCGTTATTTGGGCCCCTCGGATACCAGGAGCGCATAAACCGAGTACCGTTTGCCAGTCGATTCGGCAAAGGCGACCGACCAATGACATAAGACGGGAAATAGTAAACTTAAAGGACCAGAAAAAAATGCCTACTACATAACACGGTTCGATTTCAGTTCTGTAAAGATATTGGAGTTCTACTTTACTACTATGTTAGGTATGTAGGAAGCGGATTTTCATTTGAAAATTGCAATTTCTCGTAATTAAATAACATTAAATTTGAAACGTTTTCAAAAGTTAAACCCGATTTTTTTACACACAAAAAACAAAAAATATGTTTCCTACATGACCTAGTGACGTTGCCAAAGAACTGGTATGTCTTTACAGAGTTAAACTTAACCTGAATCACTTGACGACTTTTTAATTATTATTTAAATCGACCCCCCCCCCCAAAGTTGTAAGAAATTTATATTACCGTTTTGTATGTTTGAATAGTTTTTGAAAATTGATTTCTAATATTTGTTTGTTGAATTCAAAACTTGTCTAAGAATTAATGTAGATTTTCTAGTTTTGTTTTTACACTCCAAGGGAGTTGAGCTATTTCTTTAATCACAACATGTTTAAGCAAAATGATTTGAGGAATTTTCAACGTGTAGATGAACTTACTGAACCCCTGAACTTACTTCAAGTCGAGTTTTGATCAATGAACAAGTGTATAAAATATATGTAGCCTATCGGGACCCATTTCCCCAAATCCCGGTTGATTTATATGTTTATATAATATATAATGTAATAATATATAATAATGTAATAATAATAATAATAATAATAATATATTATATAATTATATAATGCATATAATTAAACAAGTGTAAGTTGAAAAAAAATAATAGCACAAAACGTAAGTAGGTATTAGGGTGGCACAAAAAAAATCGATCAACGAAATGTTAATGGCTAACATTTAAATATGTTCTATACACAAAAAAAGAGACTTGCGGAAAATTTGAGATAAAAAAAAAATTTTTACTGGTCGCTCAACACGTTTTAAGTAAATTGACCAAAAATTCTCAAAAAATAAAAAAATGACTTAAATTATAACATTTTTGGTAAAAAATCATCATTAGTACATCAGTTTTACAATTGTAGTATTTTTTGCATTGAGTACAACTGTGTGAGTTTCAAAATCCTAAGTTAAAAATGAATTACGTAATTAACAAAAAATCGTAATTAAAAGGTCAATTTTCAATTAAGCTTGAAGTAACTAAAAAAAAAAATTTTTTTTAATTTTTAATACTTTATTTTATTGAACGTTATGTATGTTTCTAGTGAAAAACACATTTTTCACTAATGTTAACAACTTATGCTTTTTTTTGTCATTTTGTCAAAATGAACGTTTTACTGAAAAATGTGTATTATGTGTGAAATAATAAAATACTTATCGTTATGAATTTTAGCTGTTATATTTGATTACAATTTATTTAATTTACATATTTTTAACTATACATAACACAATATTAATCAAACACTTTATTATTTTAGTATAAATGTTCAGAAACAACTTTTTCTAAATATTTTTTAAAACTGATTTGTTGCAATCAGGAAACTCATTTCTATGTTTTTCTACTACTTGTAAAATATATTGTTTTTGTTCCTCATCTGTCGTTAAAGAATTGTTAAATTGTGTCATTAAAGCAATTCCTTTTTCGACAGGATCATTCACAACAAATAATGATTGCACTTTATTATATGCTGACATATAATTTTTATTTATAGACCAAGTACTGGGATCGTCATTCAAAAAATCGTCACTAATATTAAGCGCCGAAAACAAATGTTTTGTATTTTTAGTTACAAATCGCTGTAAACCATAATTTTCGTTTATTGTATCAACTGAAATTCGTTTTTTTTTAATTTATTTCACTTTCTTTATTTAAAGCTACGACCAAGCTTACTTTCCGTTTTTCTCTCTTCATCCTACAGTTAGATAACCTGCAGTTAGTTAACTGAAGGTGAAATTGTATTAAATGGATCTTTTTGATCATGGTACAAACTGTGTCGATTGTGATTGGACGATATCGCTGATTGTGTGTTATCAAAAAATAACAATTTAAAAACTATAAACCGGATCGGCGATTTCAGTTTGAAATTTTAATGTTTGTGAATTGTTTTTAAAATGTCTAACAAAAGAAGTAGGTCTAGTAATTTTTCATTTCTTGAAAAAGAATTGTTACTAAAAATAGCTCTAGACTACAAGCATATATTAGAAAATAAAACGTCTAATGCAGTTACGTGGAATGACAAGAATAAAACTTGGATAAAAATTGCTGAATTCTATAATGCTAAAACTAATGGCTGTGTAAGTATGAATTATATTAATATATTATAATAATTACACTGTATTAAAACTGTTTTATAGCCAAGAGATTCTATTAACTTGCGTCAAAAATACGAAAGTATAAAAAAAATGCTAAGGGAGGTCCAAAAAAACCTTATTTGAAACTGGTGGTGGTCCACATATAAAACCTTATGAGGCGCAAAGTGAGCTAGAAAAAAATCTCTACTCGACTATACAAATTTCTGCTGAAGGTTTACCGAGTACTTTTGATAGTGATGCGCCTATATGTAAGTTTTTTTCTTTACAATATTTTATTAGAAAGATATTTAAATAGTTAATACTATTCATTTTACTATACAATTTTTGTAATAGTTTTATTTGGTTTTAATTATACCTTTTTAATGATAATGATTGTTAATTTTAACCCTGCGAAGTAGATTTATGCATGCATGCAGTAAATACAAACATTTATAAAAATTTTCAATAACCCCTTAGCATTTGAATTTAGCAATTTATAAATTATAGATATAATATTAAATTGGGTGATTGTTTTATTTTAAATATTGTATAGTAATTCCGTCTGCTCCCGAAATACACGAGCAATATGAGGAAGTTTTGGTTGTAAGCGAAGAAGATTCGCTTGATCATGATGGTATACTAATATATAATGAACCATCTTCTTATAACAGTAATTACTTAACAGTTATTGATTCACTCTATAGTCTTTCATGTAAGAAAATTATTATATTAATATTACAGCTTACAAAGAATCGCAACCAGCATGTTTGACCACCAGCCATGTCGATCCAGAGAACGTACAGTCAACTAGCCAAAGTAAAAACATTTTTACCAATATTAAATTTAGTGTATGCTTTATAAAACTTGGTCTTAACAACCATACGTTTAACGATTGCAAATGGTTCGGTCATTATGATTTATGAATGATAGTATTCATTGTATGCACTAGTCATTATTGTCTAACCATTTGCAATTTATATTTGTATGTTTAAAATTGTGTGTAATTGAGATTTTAAGTTTAATAAATATTAAATTAATGTTACAGTAGATACACATAATGATGATAGTTTGTGGTCTCCTCTTAATGCAACAAAATGTTTAAGGACCAAAGAAAAAAATTCAAAACTTGCTGTTGGTAAAAATAATTGTAAATTCAAAAAACGAAGTAAGTGTCTTAAACCTAGTAAAAGTAAGAAAACAAGTAGTAAGTAGAGTGTTTGATGTAAGTAGACTGTACAATGTGAATTAACCAATTATTTAACACTTCAATAAGCATTAATATTTAATATAATATTTAAAATTATGTAAAAATGTAGCCTGTAGGTAAGTATAAATCAAGTATGTACATACTAAGGAAGTAGACTGTACAATTAGTGTTAATATTTAATTTGATATTTAAAATTATGTTAAAATGTAGCCTCTGGGTAAGTAGAAATCAAGTAAGTATATACAATAAATTATTTATATTTACTTTAAATAGCATTGGTACAATAGGTGATCTACATTAAAAGTAAAAAATTAGAGTCCTTTTTCTACAATTTTTTACTTCACTTTCAATGTATTAAACTATAAATAGTTACCTAGCTATTGTATAAGTAAAACTAATATAATCCAAGCATCAATTTAAATGAAATGTCCTATGTTCTAAATGAAAATAAATATTTTTTTATTATATATTTTAAGCTGTAAATAAGAAACGTTGTATGTCATCAGCTGGCTTAAAATTTGAAGAGCTAGCAGACAATAAAATGGATTTAGTGTCTTTACAGCAGCAGTTTTTAGAACAACAAATGTTGCAGTCGTCTGCTGAACATGAGGCAAAATTAAAATATATGGCTGAAGAGCATGCTTTAAAAATTGAATTATTAAAGTTGGAAATTGAAAGTAAAAAAAAAATATTAAACCTTGTTTAAATTAATTCTCTGTGCCTTATAATTATTTAAATAAATAATAAAAAATATATTATATAAGAATTAATTTATTATTTTGTATTTTAGGTTATAAAAGTTAAACAAATTATAGTTGTGAAAAATACTCATCAATTAACTGTGCCCTTGCGCATCCTACCTCTGCTGCATCATGTAAAATATTATCAACATTTTGCTCATTTTGTGGCAATATTATATTTATTAAATCAGGGGCTTCTACATCGTTGTTTTCACACGCAATGTTGTGTAACACAGAGCATGCTACTATAACGGCTTGGGCAGTTTCCAATTTTAAACGCAATCCAAGTGATAAAATGGGCAATCGTCTTTTAATAACTCCATAACACCTTTCGCAGGATTTCGGGTTCTAATTATGGATTCGTTATATAATTCTTCAATATTATTTTGAGGGTTTAAAAAAGGTGTTACAACAAATCGAGTATTTTTGTAGCCGCTATCAGCTACAATTAAGCTATTTCCCCAGTTACCATTGTTTAAATCCCTGTAAATTTTAGAACTGCTAAATATTGTCTGGTCATGACAAGAACCAGGCTAACGGGCTACAATATCCATAATTCTTAGGTTTGGAGAAACAACCGTTTGGACATTTAAAGAAAAGTAGCCTTTACGGTTCCTAAAATACTCGGCATCGGGGCCTCCTAAAAACAAATCAATTCAAGTGGTTTGATTTTTTTTAATTTGAATAAAATTAACATGGTTTTATAACCTGTCTTGTCCATATTGACCTTTCTGACATTTAGGTAGTGTTTATATTAATAATAAAAAGTAAATAATTTTAAATACAAATATTTATTAAAAATTAAGAATAAAAAGGTTAGATGTTTCCAATTTTTTTTAAACATTTCCCTCTTCATTTTCCATATTCAACATCTACGTAAATTTATTTTTTCTCACTCGAAACATATTGCCGAATCTAGGTCAAGGGTCAAAATTAACTGGACAGGCTATAAGCTAAGAAGTAATAATTTAATAAGTGTATAATATGCGTACAATCAATAGCACCAATAGTTCTAGGAAATCTAGCGATTCTATAGAAGTCTCTTTGCAGCATGTTCAGAGCTTCTTCCGTTGAAGGCATACAAATAAATTGAGAACGAAGCCGAGCGATCGAATAGCTTACATCTCTAACAACTCTGTAAGCTGTAGACTTTCTCACACCAAGGAAGTCTCCAGCAGTAATAAGAAAGCTTCCAGTAGCATATAAGCGGAGTGTTAATAGAAGTTTATTCATTGGAGATATAGCAGAGTTCCTTTAGGATACATACAATTTTTTTTAAAAGAAGGATGTTGAAAAAAATTAAGATTTTCTAAACAATAGTCCATACTCTTTCTAATCAAAATTCAATTTAATTATGTCGCTACAAATTAGTTATTGTCAATGTATACTACACTCGCTACTCACACTAACTTAATATGATCATATTCAAGCTGTTTGTAATAATTTATTTCTAATTTCATACTAAAATAAATCGCATGGCAAGCAAATAATGCCTACAGTCAACTTTTAAACTAATAATATTATTCCAATGTTAACAGCCCTACAAAGTTAACATACTTTATTATATGTCATTATTAAAAATTTATATATTTTTACACCCCCTTTCTAATCTTACCAATTGGTTTGTGATGTTATTTCGTCAATAATTAAGGCTAATATTTGCTCCACAACGTCTTTAGACAGTCTAAACCTAACTCTAAAATCGTAGTCATCCCACCTAGTAAAATGATCCACTCTTTGCTGTATAGTATACGGTCTACGTTGGTAGTTTAAATATTCAATAATTTCCTCGTCATCATCATACAAAAAATCAACTTCCACATTATCCATACTACTTAAACTTAAAAGTTTAAAAAGGTGCTCAATTGAACTTGGTAATACTTTTTGACTTTAATTAAAAATTAATAATAATATGATAAATTATGATAACAAACCATATTTCTGTTATCAGCTGTTAGTTATCTGTCGAATAAGATTTATTTGATACAAAAAGTAACGGATAACTTATCCGTCGGATAAGGGTTATCCCGACATTGAAAACCCGAAATTTGTCAATTTTTTATTATCTGTCAGATAATTTGAGTTATCTGACGGATAAATGTTATTGAAAAACCGGGCCTAAGAGATACGTGGTTTGTTGTTTTCGTTGTGTAATCTCATTTACTGCATTAAAAGCCATTCATTCGCCTCTATCGTTCGGGCATAGAGTCTTTATTTTGATATTATTATTTTTTAATACAAAAGTGATCGTTTCTCACTTTCAGAAGATGTAACTGGCGTTTAATACCGATTAAGCCCGGGAGGACGACTAAAGTAAACTCTTAATTCGTATGCGATGTCCAACCCGGACTCGAACTCCTTTTGTCAAAAAAAAAATAATAATAATAATAAGTAATATTATCCAGGCTAACCACGCACGCTGCCGAGTACTACGAATATTTCGCGTCAGCGCTAGAGACTTATGTCTGACATAAATCCAAGTACAAACACACACAAGCACTTGGGCACGTTTGCGGCATTCCACAGGATGAGTTTCCATATGAAGAGCGAACCACTTAACGGAATGACCGACGGTCGTCGACGACTTGGTGGACCGTCGATGGCATAGGACGATCCAGACTAAATAAACACATAGAAATGTAGGAGTTAAATGTAAACAAATTTTCTGTGTTGTTTGTAGTATATAAAATGGCAGTCGTTTTACCGGCGTCGTTTTTTCTATTACGAGATTAACACCGGAGAACCGGGAGATTTCATGCACGTCGTTTCATTAGAAAAACGTATTATAATACATCATCTCCATCGTCCTAAGTACGGGTCGCCTAATGCGTTTGTTTGTGCTTGGTATTTAATAACACATAACAATAAAGAGATCTGTCAGCGCGTTCCCCCGCGTTCATCGAAATCCTGGTATAGGCACCTCCGGTATTTCTATTTATTATTATTATTCACTCGGCCGTCTTGTAATTATTATACTTCATTTTTTTCCTATTCCTTTTTTTTTCTTCTACCAAGTACGACATCAGCACGAAACACGTTTTACCGGCGGCGGCGGCGGCGGCTACCGGTAAAAGACAAACGGTCGGACGTTCTATAATATCATTATACTATAGTGAGTTCCTTGGATTTAAGGAGCTGACAAACAGAGAGAGAGAGAGAGAGAGCAAAGACCCGGGTCGTTGTGTAAAAGCTGTTGAAAGAGTTGTAAAATAGTTATAGGCGAAAAATTAAAATAATAGTAATAAATAAAAACTATAAACGACCGGTCGTTTGTCGACCATTAAACGCGGCGACAACGATGGCGAAAACGCCGACCAACTGTTTAACCCGCGTTAATGTACAAAAACTATTTATTACGGTAAACGCCGGAAACGGTACGTTTTTTAAATTTTTTTGTAAACAATTAGGCCGAACACCACGCGTGGCAATAATGTTTTCCGGTACGTTATTCGTTTTTAACGCGCCTGCTGCCCGTTAATTTATCGCTATACTTTTAGAGGTACGGTTTCCTCCAGCTTGTATACTTTGGCCAGAGCCACTGCCACCGTATAACGAGTACGGTTGTAACCTGCGCTACATCTTACAACATGTGTGTGCGTGTGGTTAAAATCCCAAAAACCTTTTATCGCCAAAAGTAATTGGTAATCCTATTGCAGATGCCAACAAAAAAAAAAAAAAATGCAATACCGACGGAAATCCGTTGGATTTGGCCGGCCGCTGGTGCTCTCGTCTCTGATCTTTCTCTCTCTGTTTGTATGTGCTTGTGCGTTTGTCTATCTATTCTGTAATAATAATATCTAGGCGAAGGCAAATAATATCGTATGGGCGACGCCCCGAGTATTCCGGTCACGGAGAAAAACGGTTTTTATCCTGCCTATGCATTTGCGCTCCAGCATCCCCCCCCCCTTTCCTCTACCCGTGATCTTCTCTGCAACAGCCTCCCCTCCCCGCCTTCACATTTCCCATACACATGAACTATAGTATGTGTTTGTGGGTACGGCGCGGCTTTGACGTGAAAAATCATCGACGCACGTCTCCAATAACATAATATTTACCGACAAACTGATAACCCAGTATAATACTTACAGCGGCCTATATTACGTACATGTATGTGTATAAGTGTATATTATACCCTTTAGAGAGAAGAATCACAGCATGCATACACACATACGTCACACGTTCGATACACACACACACACACACACACACAATAAGGCCTTTCAAACCTTATAAGGACGTACACGTGCTGATCTGCGGTATTATTAAATAAATAATATTCTAAAAAATAGTGTAATATTATGTTATTTACTCGTGCCGCGTACGCGCATAAGCTCTCGTTTGTGTATCATTATTGTAACAGCCTTTCGTTTTATATTAAACGGTTTTCAAGTATATTGTAAGATTTAGGTAACGACGATGTTAGGTTTTTTTTTTTTGAATGAAGGTTACTCTTATAAGTTAATTACTTATACTTAGACATTTCGCTGAGATTCAAACGCGATAATCAAATATCAAAAAAATATATATAAATAATAATAACAACCAGCTGCGATACGTTTCATACAGCTGAAAGATTTTTTATTATTTAGATTGTATTTGAAATAACGATCAGAATCAAGCAGCAATGCGATATCGCGTTCCTACTAGTTTAATAAAACGTTGCTTCTTTTAAAATTAATATTATTAAGTAAAACAATAACAAAACGTTGCAGATTGTATACAGATCTACTCGCTTTAATTTTTATGAACAATAATTATATTCGAATAAAATTGTGTATTGTTCAAGTCGTCCTACATCGTGTGGGGTTAAGAAAAATATAATGATATTCTCGTGGTAGTGAACTACTTAGCAAAAATGTCTAGTTTAATTTATTCCACTGTAAGGTGTACGAACAATTGTAATATACATTTTTTTTAAAAAAAGGCCAAATTATAATTATTA